CCATGTTTGTTTCAAGTGCGTCTAGTTCCCGACTCCCTTATACAAGTAGTAATAATGCGGTTGGTATCGATGTGTGCCTGGTACTCGGGTTTAGGCATGTGATCGCCGCTGGATCACAAAGCAAATAACTTCCGTCAAAGGTTAATTCTGATCCCGGACTAGTACTTAGGCCACAGAAGACACGTACATGTCAAAAAAAAATACAGTATGCATGTACATATGTACATTTATGTGGTATGTACCTGTACAAATGTTGACCATGCAGTAGTCACACCGTGGAATTACAAAAGGATCTATCGGTTCCCTTACATTCAATAAATCCACAAATAGACCAAAACTGCTTTTGATCAGATCCATTTTTCATGTCATGCTTTGGATGTGCCATATGCACGCGAAAGCATTTCGATATGCCCTACGTCATTATTTTGAAGTCCATGTAACAAGTACATGTTATGTATGATGTATTGCGGCCTCCTTGAACAATTTAATTTGAGCTCAAACTGAGCTGAAATGATTCTAAGGACTTCAGAGAAAAATGAATTGTGTACACCATGCAGCAAGAAAACAGAATCTATCAGTGCTGTTATTCAAACTTTTTATTTGTTAGGCTTAGTTTATTTTATTTGTTTCAAACATGCAGCTACCTTACAGAACAAATCATCGTGAATTTTATTTTAAAAATCAGCCCATAGGCCTACAATAAAGTATTATGTAACTCACAGATTTGTCACGCCATGTTTATCAGAATTTGAAAAGTAAATATTCTTTGGCCAGTCATCTCTATAGTTTAAGTGATCTGCATATGATGATGATCGTGGTTCCAATGTGCATACTCTTGGACCCACTGTATTCAACAACCATGAGGGTTCAATAAACTTAAATCACAATACAGTTTTAGAACACAGACAATTTTGGCCAACCTGTCCAAAGCTGCCATCGGAGAGGTAATCCGCCAAGACGTCGTAAACGTTGAACCGGATCGGCAGAACAGGTTCCGGCAGGTCCTCCGTCTTCCCAGGGGGTCTGAAGGCGCTAGGGATCCTCAGGTTGTTGTTGATCTCCTGCTTGTAAGCCACCGACAGGGCAATATGATATCGCAGGTACCACTCCAAGGTCTGTGGGTCTTTCAGGGCGATCTTCACCACCAGCGGTAGGTCCCCGAAGGCACGGTCAGTCGGAGCCAAGGCCATGTACCCGATGCCACTCACCAAGGTCTTATTCACCCACGGTGTGGCACGGGCGTACTTGACGAACGTCAAGGCACCTGCCTTCTCGCAGACTTGCAAGATGTTACCCTCTTGATTTCTGACATCATGCGCCAGTGAGTATTCACCGAGTAATGACAGCAGGAAGAGAGCTGCTGAAATCAAATACATGTTCTTTGTGCAAAGCCTAACTTCCCCGCAGCACTTGGGACAGTATGGTGGCCTTTTCTGCTGGTGTTTTCCTTTGTGGATGGTCTCTGTTTCATGTCATCTCATTGGCCTTTGCCATGTTTCGGTTTTGAATCGGCTTTAGTCGTGCAAAGTCGTGTACATGTACAGTGTACATGTATATGTGTCATCATTCTGGAATAACGGTAGGTGTTTCCCATACACTTGAGGTCGAGGAAGTGTATCACGTATGTCTGTGGTAGCGCCCCCTAGAACACCACAAATAATTATGTTGTATGAGTTGCGGAAGCTGGCCTTTTTATTTGTCGTGGGTGGTCTCGTGTGAAATGTTCAGAAGGATAAATTGCCTTAATGTTGCTATTCTATATTGCAAATTGATACAATTGTCATGTGCATGTACACCCGTGCTTATTTCACATGCCTTGTGTGGACATTACTTTGTTTTCTGTGGGCTAAGAAAACTTGAGAAAATGCCACTTTAACTCTCACTACAATAATCCCTCCAGAGATTTTGAAGATTGTTTCCTATACCGTTCCCCCTCATTATGATGTGCGCAACCCTGACCCCAAAATGCCTCTGAAGTTGTTTGTCAGAGAGGAGAAAACACCGTGTGGACAGGTGCGAGCCCATAACGTCCTCTAAAACTCTATTTTAAGTGGACGTCTGTCGTTCCGAGGTCCATACTTGCCACGCTTGTGCGTCTTTACGTGGACTGATACCCTATAAATGAAAGCGGCAATAGCTCGTGTTCCCATGACGACAACCAACCTACACCGCACAGATAGATGACGGAATATGTATATTGTTGAACGCGTCTCGTCAGTGAAGCTGTTCAAATGATCGAGTTAAACTTTAATTAGCTGTAAACAAATTCAAACATGCCCCAGGCGTGAAACCTCGTTGTAAGGAAAGTCAAAAGGCATGATTCCCGTTTTTCTTTCAGAGGAAGGTAGTTTTGTACGGTCCAGTTGACAAGATGTCAACATAACGCAAGGACTGTGCCCAAGGCCGTGTTCTCGTTGTGCATTATGCCCTTCGAACACCGTACTTTCGTTTTCTCACGGACAACAAACGTCAGCCTGCTGATTCCATGCACGGATGGATTGTGGAGGTGGATGGACCCACTTATTACAGAAGTTTGAAAGTGGAACTGTTTCATCTGTTGTAAATAGTTCAAGTGGAGAGATGAAATCAAGAGCCTCCATGGTCCGACCATAGAACATGTTTCAACTGAGCGTTGCCGCGAATTGGTTTTCTCGGCAGTGTTTTGTGGCCTTTAAATTGCCGTGCTCGTTTCCCCGTACTTAAATAAATTCCTTAATGTTAGAGTTTTCATGGCCGTAATTAACCTCATAAAACGTCCACAATACTTATTAGTCCCGCAATATTAACTAATATTTTCTTATTATTTGGAAAAACTTAAAGCCTTCTGTACATCTTTACTTTGCAACAAGCAACAACAAAAAGAGATTTTATCTCGTCTGTACTGTGGCACTAAATACTTCATTCGTTGATCTCGATTTGAGATTGATTTCCTCCATGCATTTAGCACAGTAAGTTGAAAGTTCCAAAACGTATGATATGATTTATATTTATATTCAGTGCAACAAATTTAATCCAAATTCACGAATTTACTCCAATTTAAGTTTTAAAAATTCACGTAGGCTACGCCTATGGTTTTACTTCTCTCGATTCGGCCAAAATATTGAGATTCAAACACTTCAATCTATCAGGATTTATTGTTTGGTTTCTTTGCAGAAATGCTACAGTTTGTCGGCTTCTTGCGTCATAACACGGCGACTGCCAACTCTACCGGATAATCAATTCACCGTGGTAGTTTTCCCCCAAAGCATGATGGGTAGGTGATCAGGAGCGGTGACCGGCCTTCAGTACATGTTGAAGTCCTACATGTATTGTGCGATAGTCGTGTACATGTACATGTCTGCAGCAAGTTGCGGAGGAAGACACCCAGCACGGCAGCTCGAATACGTTACTCGTATTTCTGTGTGAACACTCAAGCGGTTCCCACTTCACATCACAGGACGCAGTTGAAAAACGAGCGCCCTTCGGCCGACCCGGAGTAGAAGACGATTGGAAGGTGATGTAGGCGGTCATGGTGAAAACTGCGCTGGATGTGAACACTAATTAACGCCACGCACGACGAGTCATCTCTATCTCAAGACTGGGTGTCAATCCAGTGTTTGTTCAACGCTGTTCTGAAGATCTGTGTGTTTTTTTTTGTTGGACGAAAGCGTTAGGATGTAGGCCTAAACGACTTGAAGGGAGGACAACTTGCCATTGTCGGGGGGTCAGTCTGACCATTTTGACCAGAAGCCTACTCGGACCACCCTTCATACAACGGCAGTAGAGCAGAAAACCAAGTCAGACAAAGATCTCTCGAAAATCTCCTGTCTCGACACTTAACTTGCCGAGTCTTTTGGTGCCCGTGGCAACATGCGAGGACCACATGCGTGAACGGCAGGCAAGGGCAACTCCTTAACAGTGGTGGCATTTCACCACCCACCCTGCGAAGAAAAACAAAACAAAACAAAGCCACACTGTCTTCGGGGTGCTGCGGTTTTCGGCCTGACAGACTGGTGTGGCTCTCAGGAATCTTTACTGCCATCCCGGCAGTACCGAGGAGAAACTGAGAAATACTCGTTGAAAACGGCCGACTCACTCGGCCGAGGCAGGCGCTATTCTTGGAAACGCTTTAGACAGACATCTTGCAGTCCAACATCGGTGACGTGACGGAGACTCTAACTAAGGACAAGCAACCTCGAAAATAAAACTCATTGAAATGGAGTACAACCGGACGTGGGTCGGTCACCTTGCTGTGATATTATTCCTGGCCATTGCTGTTCTGGACGCTGTCGTTGCAAATGAGTGAGTAGGTTTTCCTTTCTGTGCTATGAGAGCAGAGCAGAGCAGAGCGGACAGCAGTAGTGTTTCAAATTAACCAAAGCCTGTTCATTTTAAAGACTAGCCTAATTATGCGACTTGCCTTGGCAGTTGCACGTTTGTTGTGACGGCCGGGACGTCCACAGCAAATTTTGAAGCTCTAAAATTCCCCATTGTTTATTGTGGTATTAGATCCCGTAGCACCGTATCTCCAAACTATATTGTGCTATGTACATGTGCTCCAGTGGTCTGGGCATTTTTTTTTAACAGGAAGTTCGCACGCATTTTTCCTTCCTGCATTTCCTGCATTCCATGGAGTACAGAGCCTGGATGGAGTAAAACCAAAATGGGTCATTTCTGAGGGTAAAAATACCCGCATGCTACAGAGGCGACACACTGCTCGTGCGAAGCAATCATGTCGCCCGAAAGCGACTTTCACTAATGCGCAGAACTCAGAATGCGCTTATCTCTTAAAAATCTGTCTGCGGGGTTTCAACACCTTTGTACCGAAGAGAACAATTTTGTGCATCCCACACCACGTGATGGCATTGAGCAAATTGAACGACATCCAGTATATACGGAGCGCTGTTTTTGTTGCTAAAGTGCAAGGTTGCATGCTTAATGAACTGGACATCTGAACACGTGCTAATAACAGATGGCTCCCTGACGAAAGGGAAATTTTGTTTTGAAGAAAAACACCTCGTTAGTTTTGTGCACATCTTTATAATCAATTGGAAACAGCGCCTGCGGAAATCCAGAATTGTCGCCTTTCCAGCGCTGAGACGCTGAATGTCCCATTACACGGGTTTTATTTCCGCATCACAGTTGATCGATGTTTGATCGCTTTGCCTACTGAAGTCCGTTGAGACTCCTCGCGGATTTGACCTCACCTGGCTTATCCCTCGTGCAATACGAAGAATATTTCCAACGCTTCGAGTTGTCACTTTTGAAAGTCGTCAGACTACCCCTACCCCCCCCCCCCATCCCATGCTGGCGTCTTTCTCTCCAGCTCTTTCAGTCCCGTTTCAACGAAAGGACAAAGTTTTTTAATAAGCAATTCGCACAAACTGTCAAAAAATCACTCTTTCCAGATGAGACATTTAATAACAGAAAAGCACATATGTCAAGATGCCATGATTGGTTTTGGGAGGGGCGACTTGAGCAAACATGAATTGCCAAATAAAGGACACACTTCCTGAGTTTTTCTTCTGCATGCAAAATTCCGCATTCCTCTGGATTATTACACAGACTAAAAGTTCAGTGCTTGCCTATTTCTTGGTTGCGAATGTTTTGTTTTGCTCAACAGGGGATACCTCGTTGTGCATCCGGAATATTTCCGGCCGGGAACCGAGGAGCACATCAGTGTCACCATCTTTGAGCCGAGCCAGCCCATCACCGTCCAGGCTAGGTTAGTCTTCAAGAACGAAACGATTGCATCTACGGAACTCACCATCGTGGGTAAGGGCACAAAACTTCATGATCTTTCCCAAAATTTTCATGTACAATTTAGCAAACAGTAGTCGATGTGATGAAACTTCTAAAAGAGGAGGAGTGAATATCCTCACAGTTTGTTCGGGATGTTTTGTGAAAACATTCGATGCCACCACAAAAAAGGGAGTCGTTGCACCCACAATATCCCACATGGCCTATAGTGGATGAAGCATTGGGTCATGATTTTACTCAACCCCTTCCCTAACGATCGAACTGTGTCTGGTTCACACTTTGGAGTGCCCAGATAAGTTGGTTTGAAGCGGAAGCCTTAGTGTGTCTTTCGTAACGCGCGATAAGTCCCACTCCAAATAAGAGAAAACCGACTGGGCTTAATCTGAGACCACTTCACTCGAACAAATAAACTGCTAAGCTGGTGATGACTGTACAGGTTGGGTCTCATGATGATTTTCAACGGATTTATACCCGAGGTTTGCCGCGGCCTCAGAGTATAATGCGCATACATTTATAATCTTATTTGCACAGCCAAATGTTTGTGTGGTCTCTCGATTTAGTTTGCGATGATAAACGAAACCAAGGACGCTTGTGCCACTTTTGCCATTACGGACCTCCTGTGAAAGCACAGTTTCGTCAAACGCCGATGATTTCTCATCAGACCCACTTGCGTAGAAACCGTTTTCATTTCCCGTCATATTTGTACTTTTTCACCAGCATCGCAAAATCCGATCCTGTGGCTCCGTGTGCGAAGTTCACCCAGTGCTCGTTATGTTGCCTTGGCAACATAGCGGTGTATTTATTTTTTCTGGGGCCTTTTTTTCCCTTTAGCTCTGGTTCTGTTATTGAGAGAAAGGTCCAGTGTTCCGTTACATGTAGCAGGGTACACGGGGAGTTCAGCTCAGCTGTCACATCGTGTCAGATTGCCGGGGAGTTGAGGCCCGGTGACATTGACCTCTCGAGGTGCCACCGTGCCTCGTGGTGCGGATCAGCCCACATCCTTCAGCTGTGCGAGTACCCTCAGGTGGTGGGCCCAGGACTAAACCACGAGGTTGCTGCACTTACCTGACCAAAGTGGGCTGCGTTTATTAGATGCTCGAGCAACAGTGCCGATCTGTTGCCTGCCGCGTTAAAAGCTCGTCTTTGTCTTGGAAAACAGTATTTTACTTCGCGGTTATTGAAGAGTATACCTTTTCATCCGAAGTGAAAGCGGTTGTAATGACTATCTGAAGAAAACGAAGATTTTATTAAGAACTAAGATTAAATTCTCAAATTTGACATTCACTTTGTTTTAGCCAGAAGGCAGTTACACACAAACGATAAACATTAACGTTATTCGAAACGACAGTGAAAATGAATTTGTCAATACGAAAACTTTGAATTCCACGTTGACCACAGAGAATTCGAAACGTCTTTACTAAACTAAAGGGGAAACTTCCAGATTCTTTTATCAAGATTCAACCAACAGATCTGTTGCCTGCGTCTAATTTTTTTTTCATAAATATGGAAAACAGCTAATCTAGCCACACACAGTATTCATTAAATTTGTTTGTATTCTGTCTGGGAGAATTTTTGACTTGCGTTCAGAAACAGGAGGGTAACGAAACGAGGGCCAACCCCCCCTCAAAAAAATTGCGTTGCTTAACAATAAATAAAAGGCAAAGTTTTGGTCTGTTTCGTGTCCATTTTTCAAAAAGCGTATCAAAACCCAAAATCTAGCATCCCCCTCAGAAAGGCCATAAAAGGCTTCATGAAAAAAGTCACATTTTTCGGCCCCTCGCCCAACAAAATGAAATAAGTTGCCCACCCCCCGAAAATCTAGTGTTTTGCTTTCTAATTCTATGTCTTAATGTGAAGTTTCTGGAATTTGTCTTTCACCTTACTTAAACAGTTGTCTTCTTCCCCTTCTTACGTAGGTAAAGGAAAGCTGAAGCTGCAGGTCAGTAAAAAAATGTTTTCCTTGGATCCATCAACGCTAGTTTGAAGTATGTAGTTTCAGACTTTGGACTCATCTTAACTGTAGGCCTGTATTAACTAGGTGTGTCCGGGCATTTCGGACATTTAGTTCAGAACCAGAACATGTAATATGCTTTAAGTATGTCCTGGACTGAGATTTCGTTGCCAATTTGGACAACCTCTTTCCAAATCCAGACTTAAAACCTTGATTCCTCATTCCCCTTTTCCTTGTAGTTCAGATTATTCTAAATACTGCACAGGCGCAGTCTTTTCCGATTATTATTTGGGATGACGTCATTGTAACGCTTCCTAACAGCATCATTGTCGTCCTTCACTTTTTCTTACTGGAAACCGCAAAGTTGTCATTTCGCTTTAAATTCATCTCAGCGCGCGTTCCCTAGTCACGTTTCTTGAAACTGTTACCGAAAGCCCCAAATTAGCCCTCCCCCCTGCCTGGGGCTGTTGTCAGAGGCGAAGCCTGCATTGTGAACTTCTCGCAGTCTAAGAAAGACCAATGTTTACTTCAATCAGCGGTACTTAAAGGGGATTCCAGCTCATCGAAGGAGATGCTTTGCCGCGGCGCATCTTTGGCAATTGTCCCAGTTTTCTGCAGAGAGCCCAGCTTCAGGACTGCTCAGCCTCCGGCCTTGTTTGTTCGTTTGTGTAGCGCGCAGTGTCAACGCCCGTTAGTTTTCGGAATCATTAGTGACCGTGTCATTCAGCTTCAGAAATTGACTCGAATAGACGTAATTTTGGTTCCAAGAGTATGTCATTAATTGCTTAAAGTCGTGGACTCGTGTATGACTCGGCAAATAGGCATATACACCGACTTTTATAAACACAGCTCCAAAGCTCTTAAAGTGTAGCTTCAACGATTTTTCTTCGACACAATTTTTTTTGCACCTTTGCACTTTTCTTCAGTGTATGAATACTCTTACACACCTGTTTGGTTTAATGAATTGTAAAGTGCACACTTTTAAACGATCAAAATTATTCGTGTTTTCCCGGACAGCTGAGGGCACTTTTGCTGTGAAGTCATCTAGGCATAGGAAAGAAATGGTTCAATGTATGGGTATTTCTGTTCAAACTGAAAAGTTTGAATGTTACTAACTTAAAACATTTCTGAGAAAGGGATTGATGGTTTCTTATTGCCATGCTCATAAACAATAAAAAATCAGCAAAGAACAGAAAACTTAGTCCAGGAAATTCTACAAAAACGCGTACTTTTCTGTGTACAAAGCAGTGTAACCTTGAGGTTCCTTCCTCATTACAGTTTGCTCATGAATGTGGAAAGATACTTACGACACTTTTAGACGCTCTGTATGGTTATAAAAATAGAAAGGGCAAAAGCTCACTTTTTTCTCGGAAAATCTACACTCTGTAATTTGACGTAGTAAAGCCAATGGATCACATGTATGTAGAACGTAGAAGATATTACTTTGATTTAAAATAATATTAACTTAAGTTTACCTGTTTTATTTATGTTCCTCGTCGTCAGAAAATGTCATCATTTATTTGAATGTTCCGAGCAAAACTACGAAAAGTTTTCCCGCCATATTCCTTTTAGTCCACCAACCGAGTGAATAATAGTCGTTCCTCCCATCGTCATGATGCTGCGGTGAGAAAGGTCCTTTACACTTAACCTTTATTTCTCTCTTGGTACACTTTCAGGTACCAAGTGGTGTTAGAGGAAGGATAACGCTTGAGGTTTGCGGTAACTGTGAAATTGGTGCCACTGGCTACCACTTCAAGAACTCCACAGATGTGGACGTTTCAGACAAGGGCACTTCGGTGTTTATTCAAACCGATAAGCCGGTCTATAAGCCATCGCAAAGAGGTAGGTATACGGTTCCCCGGACGGTGAATAAAAATCAGGGATAGGGGGCCCTTAGTGGTAAACTTAAAGCAATAGTGTGCCCATGCGCTGGGATTGGAAAACGAGTTTAAGGTCTGGGTACGTACAGCCGATATAACCCTGTCTACTTCATCTAGCCCACAATTCCATACACGCACACACAATACACGGGCTATCTTCCCTAGATAGCACTAAACAACTCATATTGTGGTTTTCGCCAAAGCAGCAACTGCAGAAGGAGTTTCTTCAGCAGATGCAAGCCTGCAAATGTCTCTTACCTTGGGGAATCCTACAAGACACTGAGGCAGCCCAGAAATGTTGCCGAAAATGACAGTGGGGAGTGGGTGTTTGAGCTTACTTGAGCTATCTCCGGTAGATAGCAGCTTATGGCGTGGCTTCCAGTTGGTCAATACAAAGCATCTTTGTGAGCTATCTTCAGTAGATAGCTTGAATGTCCCCCAAGCCTCTCTAGATACAGATTTTGTCCAATGTCCCTTTACTATAGAATCCCAATGTAAGTTATATCTCTTACAGCGTTTTACTCACTATTGATGATTGGAAGATTAGAAGATTGATTGAATTACTTGAATAGGTACTTTTCTCCGATAGCCTGACAGACTTGTACCCGCTATGACAGTTAGGTGTGCTGTGAACTGCAAACCTGGTGATGAGCCAGTGTTTTATTTTGTGCAAAAAACTTAGCCACATGTAAATAACAAAATAAAATAGTGAAAGTGCGTACGTTCTGGGCACATCTTGGTAGTACCATAATAGAGACTGCCTTCCAAAGTGTCTCTTCAAGAGTTTATCGGCTATCTTCAGTAGAAAGCACACCCAAAGGTATCTTGGTCAAAGTAATAATTAGTTATATCTGTTCATCCAGCAGCACGTTTAGTGCCAATTACCGGATGAAGTGACAATTAAGGAGGCAATGAAGAAATGTTGAGTTTTAGAGGTGGGAGGAAAACCCAAGATAAATATTCCAGGGGAAGCACACGGAATCAGACAGGGACCGAAACCCTGCAGTCCACATGCTGATCCAGGTGGGATTTGAATTCGGATTACAGAGGTGGAAGGCAAGGAAAGAGCCACTACACCAACCTGACTCCCTGAATATAGTAGTCCATTTCTTTTTAGATATGAAATGCAATGTAAAGTACCTGTTGCTTTGTTTCTCCACCTGTTTCCAGTTTTTATCAACTTTATTATGACGGGGCCGGATCTTAGACCTAAGAATGAAAAGGTAGGAATGTCTGTAAAATTGATTGTGTCAACTTCATCGATTAGATTTGTTTAGATTATACTTTCTCAATGAATCTTACCTTATGATGGGTAGTTTGTACTCAAGCATGTCAAAAGGCGCATCATACATTTTTTCGAAGGCAGCTAGGTTTTGTTTCATTGCTGTTATTGCAGATGCTGGCATATATTGTGGACCCCCAAGGATCGAGAATGATACAGTGGAGAAAACTTCAACCACTGTGCTGTGGTAAGGGAATTGTTTGCTACCTTGTTTTCTTGTTTCCATATTACTGTGCAGCATAAAGGTCACATGCTTATGAGGAATGTGACCTTGACAGAAATTACCAATGGCCAAGTGTCATTTGCATAGGATTTTAAAATATGTACATGTATGTGCCTCTCTCCGTATAAACACCTTGCTTATTTTTTGTGAAAGAGTCTTGGAGTGTATCAAATTAAAGTCCATTTGACAATGTGTCAAGAACATCACTCTAGAGCAGAAGTTTATCACATAAACACAGAGCTGCTTGTTTATCACCTGTTCTCACAAATCACCTGAAAGTGTCTGGTATTTGTCCCGTTGCATGTGTATCTCTCAATCCTTGGGAAAAACACTCAAAAGCATTGGTTGTCAACGGAAGCTCTTTTGCCTTATCCCACCTCATTGCATGTAATACCATTGGCTGGCTGGTGGGGTCAGATGTGATTAGCGTTTCATATAAAAAAGTGATACCACTTCTGAGTGTTTACATTTAGAGTTTATAAACAAAACTGTACTTTCTCTGACACTGGGCATTAGATTCTTGCTAGCCCAGATATATGTTGCTGGCCTACTTTTGAAATCACTTTGTCGTCACATAATTGCATGTTACGTCGGGACATTTTCATAAATCATTTTGGTAGAGTGGCTGGTCGGAAATATGGGGTTTGGGGCATCGTGTGATCATGTTTTTTTTAATTGAAGTGGTCATTTTAAATATCTCGTTTTCTACTTACGAGATATTTCAAACTCTCAGTTGTATCTCTACATTTGATGTACTTTACAGCAATCGATAAAACTACCTGTATGTGTTTAACATATGTCATGCCACTTTTTTCTATTCCCAGGTATAATCAACACCAGCTTTCCATTGTCAGATCAGCCAATGCTTGGCGAGTGGTCCGTCTATGCTGAAGTGCAAGGCCACACATACAATAAAACATTTGAGGTTCAAAAATATGGTAAGTACAATGCCACTTGCCCTCAGTAAATTTTATTGTCATACAAAAGGGTCCTACTTTTGCTTGTGTATTGCAACAGACATGACGAGCCAGTTTGATACAGTTTAACAGCGCGTACACAAAATGAAGGATGTGATAGATTATAATTGGTTAATAATAAACATGCATGTGAAAGATCTGCCATCTCAGCATGGTGGGTCACCAAGTGCCAAGCACTAAACGTATTCAAGCTGGCTTGCATAATTTAAGAAAAATGTGTTCAAACATTGTTTGGCTGTTTTTCCTCTAGCTTACTTTTTAACCATGTTGTACTTGTTTGTGACAGTGTAAATTATCATGTGAAACTTGATACTTTTCTTCGTAGTGAATCTTTTTTTAAAAAAAGAAACAGACACTTCTTCAAAAAAGTCATATCATCACCAATTTCGTTAAATGGTAAGATAATTCCTCAACAAAAAATGCTCCCATCTGTGACTTAATGTTGATGAAATTGAAGGAAACACGTCAAACTTACAGCTGGTTTTTTTTAGAAGATAGCTAATTTAAAATATTTATCAGATGGTTTAATTCTCGTAGACTTGTAATTCCATCTCAGCAGTTGTTTCCTTCTAGGAGAAAAAACAACTTGATTAGGGCGTATTTCAGATTTCATTAGATAGTTTAACACCAGGACACGCATCCCATGAAAATTGGTCTCGACACACATGGAAAGTTTTCTGGCAAAAAAAAGTCTTGTCTCATCTTGACACTTAAGAGAAAAATATCCAGTGCCATCCCAAGTCGTCCCTCGTTTTGTTAATTTCCTACTGGATACGGCTCATTTCCTTCTCTAATTATCAAGGAAACATTTTCGACCCTCCAAGCAGTCAGAGAAAATACCGACAAACACTTGTGTCACCCTACGCGATAAACAGCTTTGTGTAACAACATTTCCGTGGTTGCCATTCGCTTAAGTGAGCTGCACCTCAGAGTAGTCAAGATGCGAAAAATTGAGCAGATGCCAGCCGTGGTCAAAGACCTTGTTTATCAGATTTCTGATCGCATGTAGTGGGGAAATTAGTGTAATGATTTTAGTTTCCAAAAGAAGAACTGACGATTTGTCAGTTGGTGTTTTCACTTGTAAAGTTGTGATTTTCCTCGAGAAAATCATGCCAGGAAATCAATGGTGGGTGTTTTTTTTCAAATTTTACCTTAACTCATCTTAGAAAAATCATCATAGAAAAAATTTTGCCCGGTTTCTGAGGTTGTTAATCTATTTCTTTCACATTGAAGACTTGATAATGATGCTTGGTTTATAACACAAAATTTGCATCTTCATCCATTTTTCATTTATTTTTTCAAACACTGAAATTAAAATGAATAAGATTCAAATGTCTCTGAAGATTCTCTACAACTGTTCATAATCTGTTTCTTGTGTTCTTTTCAAGTGATTATTGTCGGAGATTGCATGAGCTTTCTTCACATATTATGTCTTCTTTTGGATTATTGAGTTGAGTTTTCTGTTAATCCCTTCTAAAATCTATTCGCTCATGTGTAATTTTATTCATGTACTCTCACAGGTTTTTCACACTATTACAGCAGATGAAAAAAGAGTTCAAAAGATTTTAGAAAGAATTTTACCTGATACCTCACATGACTGCACCCATCCCTTGAAAGTTCTGTTAAAATGTAGGTGGTAAAGCCAGGGAGGAAGGACGCAAACCCCTGGTAATTTGCCTTGCCAGAGAACTGGTCGAACATCTGGCTTGTTTCAGCATTGCGGAAGAGCTGTCATTGAACCACTTTGTTTTTGGTGGTTATCACAAATGACAGAAGAAACCTGTCCATTATGTTAGAGCTTAGGTGTAGATCTCAACAGCTGGTCTTCCAGCTCAGCACTTGTAAATAATGTTGAAAGCTTTTAAGTGACAACTGACACTTTGGATTACTTTGGAAGGCACATAGTTATTACTTTGAATTTTAGACATTGTGAACTTTGACTGATTGTCAGGTTAACTTGAATGGTGCAAAAATGTCAGTGACATTTCTCAATGTATTTGTTGTGTTTATTTCAGCTTGTAATGTATTGCCTCTTTGCTCTTAAATCAAAGTGTCAACTTTTTGATGTCCATTGTTACAGTTATGATTTCAACTATCAACAATTTTCGAAGGTCGAGGGGTTAATATAGAGGTTTTCTTATTTTTTTCAGTTTTACCCAGATTTGAAGTAATTATTGAACCACCCAGCTACATAGCAGACATCACAAAGTGTACGGAAGCTATAGTTAGAGCGAGGTGAGTGACATGCTGCAATATGTTCTAGTGAAAAGAAGAGAAAGCTTCCACAACAGGAGTTTGGGTCATTGACCTCCAAGGCCAATGTGCCACTTTAAATAAGGACCATATGTTTTCTCTTGTTGCTGTTCCTTTCAAAGGTCGCACAACTATAAAGTGAAAGCCATAAAATATGATTCATGCAAACAGGTTTGTCATTCATCAGAGTTTTCAAGCTCAAATGTCACTCCAGGGAGATCTTATGTTCTCAGCAGATGCATTATTTTTAATGCTTAAAACCCAGTTCAGTGTGTTCAACGAACAGTTGTACTTTAGTCACGTCACATACCACCTCATCTTCGTATGATTAATCAAACATCACATAAGTTTGTTTTAGAACCAGTAACTTAATTAAGCTGTACCCAAATAGTAGGCCTACATTGTTGTTTAGAAATTTGACAGAAGATTGACCCGATCACTGATGGAAGATAGCCGCTGTCTGAATGGGGACCATCAATTGATCTGGGTCTACAGCACCTGTGTCATATTATGTAAATACTATTGAGTTGGTCTCAAGTCTTGGACCTTTTAATCTTTGTTCCAAAGTCACCCCCTTGTGTCTCAGCCCAGCTGATGTATTTATTTTTCCAACCAGTGCAAAGTTATGATGTTTTTGTCAACAACCGGACATGAAAGAATGCCGAATGTCTCTGTTGAAGCTTGACAGCTGTTGAACTTTGAGGCAAGGGTTCAGACAGTTTCTGAACTGTGAAACAGTTACTCTGTATGTGGATTTCATGATGCTCAGTTGTTGACAAAGGGTTGACAAATTTCATGAAATGAGTTTACTATAGTCAGAGCTAATTTGGAACCAGCATATTGGAGATCAAAAATAAGTTGCCAAAATGTTTATCTCACCATCTCCACATATTTCTAAATAGCTTTTGCAAAGGGGTGAAGAATTACTATTTACCACACGAAATCTGAGATTGTGCTTAAAATGGTCTTGGCAGCACATAGCCTCATGCATGAAAATGGGGATGTCTTTTGTCAAAGAAGATTTAACAATATGTGAGAGTTCTAATTGATTGAGCTATTTCTTATCTGTTCCCCCCCAAAAAGGATTGTGTTAAGTAGCAAATCGTAATCATACCATTGCCGTTGAGAAAAAAGTTGGGTAGTTCAGTTGGTTGATAACAGTGGAATTTTCAAGAATAAATCCCTGCATACTATGGCCCATTTTGCCTAGGCCTATGTACAACTGACTGTAAAGTTCTGTATACAAGGACTTGCACCTGTCAGTATTTATCTTGTAGAGTCTGATTTACCCAAGGATGACAAGTCGTAGCCTGTGGAGTTCCTTGAACAATTTCATGAAGGACAAACAGATTTATTCCCATTCACGATTTATTTTATAAGCATATTTTTCCAGACTTTTTCAAGCATGTTTTTATTTAGATATTTCCTCAGCTTTGAGCTATGCTTGTCCTATACTGATTGCATAATACCGTAGGTATAAATCTTAATTATATGATTCAGTGTACGTGTAATTGGGGCAAGGTTTTATTTAACCTTTCTTTTTTCCAAAAGTGGGTAGTTCTGTGTCTTTGCAGACTTTTAACTTTTAGAATTTCATTCAAAACAAGGTCACAAGGCTAAATGTTCAGCCCATAGTTGCTCGTTGATTGGATGATGATTTGCATATTTTTTAGTTTGCTTCTCCAAGTGCTAGATCTCTACTCCTGAGGGGTTGCAGGGAATGATAGATATCACATGTTCAGTTCACATATTTATTGTCATGTCCTGACAAAGAAAACAACCTGATTTCCTAGTTGTTGTTATCATGAGTGTGAACTGTCAGTTGTATCATTCAAATCTTACTTTGTTCCACACTTAGTAATTAAGACGAAGACAAGAGGCTTTACTATTTGGCATTGTAGCTTTTTGTCTGCTCTCTTTCCAGGTATCTGTTTGGTAAGCCAGTGCAAGGCAAGATGTCTATCAACATGAATCTCCATGGACTTGGTTATTACAATGACTACATCGGGGAGAACAACTACATGTTTATGGATGTGAGAACTGTTTTTGAGATATATAGGATTTATTTCTAACTCACACTTGGTGCCAACAAGGCAGGAGTCACTTGAAAAGTGCCTGATAATGCTGGATACTATGACATACAATATAAATTCCACAAAACTTTTACAAAAGCCTTCTGTCATGCATGTACATGTATTATATCTCATGACCCCCAAATTCACTCTTTTTGCCTTGCCTTTAACCGTAAATAATTTTTTCAACAAGGATTTGAACATTTTTTCCTCAGTCTAGGTTAAAGTGTGCTTGACATTTTAATTCCCTGAAATTTGCCACAAGAACGTATACATGTGGATTTACTTTGTTATTGCCCAGAAGAATCAATTTAAGAACCTGTTTCTGTTTCATCTATTCTATTGCTGTCTTTGTGGACAGTAGTTCTGTTGGTAAGTGCCTTTAATTTTTTTAAAGTGGGCACTGTGTGTTGTAATGTAGAGGTGTCCTTTTCTGGAAATGAATCACGTACAAAAACAGTTGTGAGAGTTGTAGATAAAAACTACACAGTTAGATTCAAAGGGAGTTTGTAGATAGATCCATTGGACACCTCTACGTTTATAATGTGTTTGGGTTAAATACTTTATTCCACCTTTGTTTTTTTCATTCTTTTTTATTTTATGATATTGCTAAAAATGACCATTTTGGTATAATTGGTACTTCCTAATACCCTACCCACTCCTCAAAAGTAGTGCTTCTCGAAAAGAGTTTGTCCTTGGCATGTTGGTGTATCATTCTAAATAGGCCCCATCCCAGTTCCCATCTCTTCCCGGTACTGGTACACTGATGCTAATATTTTCAATCTAAGCAATTTTGCTTCTAACGATGCTGCTTTTCTTTTTTCAAAAACCAGATTGATGGCTCGGCCAAGTTCAACATTTGCATTAGTGACCTCATCACCTCCCCCCTTAAGAACCACTTCCGGGGCATTGTTCACATCGAGGCCAGTGTGACAAGCAACGACGGCAACGTGTTTGTGGCCACGGATGACTCCTGTCTTGTGCAGAAGCAGTTGGTGTCCCTGGAGTTCTCCAAAGACTCCAGGAAGCATTACAAGCCAGGACTTCCCTACTACGGCAGGGTAATCATTGTCGAAAGGAAGCATTGGCGTCAGTAATTCATTCCATGTCTGAATTTACCATGCACAAGTCAAAAAGTCTTTTGCTAACATTGAAAGGAAACTGGGCTGCATGGTAACTTTACATTTTACACCTTGAACCAGTGAATACATGTATATGCATCAGGGTTTCCATGGTTACATTATCATTTGAGGAAGATTTTAAGTTTCACAGCTGGCTAAGATATGCAAGGTGAATCTGGAACCTGAAAAACACACCCCAATTTTTGTTGCATTTTCATGATTTTGTCTTATTGAATCTCATCTTTTACTGCCTGTGTTCACTTTTTAAATAAATCTACTTAATTTTTTTAAGGTTTTGCTGTACTATCCCGATAAAAGCCCTGCCAATAATGTTACCGTGGAGATAGTGGCAGAGGTGAAGCAAGACCCAGTCTTCTCCAAGAACTTTGTCTCAAGCAATGGTGTTGTGGACATTTCTATCCCATCTCTGCCACCAGTTTCTGGGCATGTTTGGATCAATGTGAGTAAATAGCTGAATGCCCTTGGAAAATTCCGGAAGACCGATATACCATATGCACTTCAGTGGAGAAAAGGGAAGAAATTTGACCCTAGGTGTAGTTTTTCTTCTCCACTCTCCTTGAAGGGTTTAAAAAGTTATGTAGAAAACAAACAAACGAACATGAGAATTTTTGTGAATTTTGTTGACATTTCATTATTCTTTAGACAAAATGCAAATGAATTTAAAATATCTTCATAAGAAATTGGTCACCACAGTGTAGCGATGTGTATTATTTTAGCGGCTCTAGCCAAAACCGTGCCTTTCTAACACTCTGCTTCAAAAGCTTTCCTTCCTTACTGCAGGTATAACAATGTTAATAAGCAACAGTTAATTTGTTAACTCACATGGTTAATATTTCTCTTGACAATTGACATAGGCCAAGGTGATAGCCATTGATGGCAAAGATGCTGGAGATACATACTTCTCCCACTATCTGTCTCTTGGGAGCTGGTACTCGCCCAGTGAGTGTCACCTGCTTCTCCGCAGCCTTCAAGAGAACATCAAGGTGGGGAATGACATTTAGATTTCATTAACCTACTCCAAGTCAGTTTCACCACTTTCAGTTTCTCTGACATTTAACCTTTTAGTCTCATTCATCACAACTTCCTGAGAATCATACGTATTAAGCAGTCTCAGGAATATTTCTGGATGTTGAGAGAGCATTTTAAAAACATTTTAAAGTTCCTTATTTTTTTTCTTTAAATAAGATCATACGAATGAATCTTAGTTCAGCTCTTAAGACTGATGGTTCTTACATAGGTGTAGTTAATAGGTCGAGTTGGGCACCTGCAAAGCTCTAGCTCCCTCGGAGAGGTTAAGTTATTTTTGGAGGTTGCTTTTGATGAATGAGTCAATCTGGGAACCAGCTGTAAGAGTCAGGGAACCACCTCAGCCATAATGTAACTGTATGTTTTTCAAATTTTCAGGTCGGCGATACAGCAGTCATAGGGGTCCAGTCTACTTGCCCCTGCAATTTTACAATGCATTACGAGGTGATGTCAAGGGGGAACATTGTGACATCTGGACTGCACGATGCCATGCTACGCAGCAGTAGTGGACGCAATGATGGCAGTCGTCGAAGACGCTTCAGCAGCCACCCTCTTGTTGATCAGTTCATGGCAGAAACAGGTACATGTACTTGGAGTGGCCGATTGCATGGGGCTGTCAAATTACATAGCAAAAATGCAGTACCAGCAAAGTGCCCTGCGATGCACTCTACTTGTTTTCAGCTAGGCCTATTTGTTGTGCAGCTAAGAAATTTACTAACTGGTAGCTTCTTTTTCTAAGTCCAATGAAAGTTGGCAATGCCTTTCAAAAAAAGATTCGTGTGCTTTTAACTTTATTTTAGATATACGCATGAATGATGGAAGAGGTAGTTATTGTGTATTAGCAGAAACTTAAGTAATGGCATAACTAGGACACCATTGATTTCTACCATTGAGCTTGCCCACTTCCTGAGTACTTCTGTTTGGTATGTGGCCTGGCCTTTTATCGGCAAACTCATCCTACCAGCTCCCAGATTCCAGGCAGGAAGAATTCTCACCCTCTCCAAAAATGTATCCCCTTTCATTGGCAGCAGGTGGTGAATCAGATTCCGGGAGCTGTCGCACCACCTTCCAGTTTGAGGTGACCCATGCCATGGCTCCTTTAAGCCACCTGCTGGCCTACTACATGAGGGGGAATGATGAGGGTGTGGCTGACACCATTGTGATCTCAGTGGAACCCAGCTTTGAAAATGAGGTAGGTTCAACATGTAGAATTGCACACTCTATTATATTAACGGTTGACGGTGCTTTGTGATGATTCCCCTGTGTAGAACGAGCTGTATATCTACTAATTGATGTGCATTTGGTTCAAAGTACATGTTGGTGATTTTCATTGGAATGTGCACAAATTGTTGTATCTTGTAAACCGGAGGAACAGAGGGGCAGTTGATCGTCAGTAGCTTCTATAAGGGACCTCCAGAAAGAAGCCCAACTTGGGAAGACAAAAAAACCCCTCTTGATTTGGTTGTGTTTCCACTATTCAGCTGTCTGTTGCTTGAATTTTGGTGTCAGTGTTAAATTTAATGTTCTGAATAACAGCTTTGTCAGTACGTCTAGTGAAGGTAAACTTGGCCCTTGTTTCTTGCCAAATCAGGTCAAGGTTCAGATGGCCAAGAATGAGACCCTACCAGGCTCAAAGATGAGGATGATGATCAGTGCCAAGCCAGGCTCCTGCATATGTGTGGCCTCTGTCGACCAGAGTGTCCAGTTGCTACGCCCTGGTTACCAGGTCACGACAGAGAAGGTGAGTGCTCAGCAGGTGGTTTTTTTTTTCAAACCCCACTGATGTCTCTGGCTGTGGTGTCACACTTCAACATTGTGACTTAAAAGCCCTGATTCGAGACTCATTGGCCTGATGTGGCTGTGCTATAAGAAGCAATTTTCATTTGATTCCCAAAGTTCTGCAAATAATTGGGAGTCCGAAGCCAAAGACTGAAACGAAGATGGGATTTGGAAAACAGACTGTGTATGTGCACGACTAAAGGCTCTTGTTTTGAACAAGATTTTCTGACCTGAACAAAGTATCCCTTAACGTGTAATGCTTTACCCAGAATGACCAGATTATCTCTCGTGGTCCTGTCAAAAACTCAAAGAGAAATTGGTTGAGTTCAAGAATATCTCAGACTGTGTGGTTTAGGAGTCAAAAAAGTAACATTATATTATAAGGAGTTGACTTGTTGAGAACTGTGATCACAGGCCATGGTGCCACAGTCAATTTGGGTCTCGTCTTGCCCGTGACATTTGTATTTGTGTCCTTGAGCAGGATATTGTCTCTCTCTACACTTACGAGCACATGAAGTATGTAGAGGTTCTGTAACTGGAATGCTGACTCGATTGCCCACAGAAAAAATTTATGAAGCTCCTTAGCATAGGAAGTATTTGCCCACAGAAAAAATTTATGAAGCTCCTTAGCATAGGAAGTATTTGCCTAGCTAAAACAGGCTACTAGCATCAATGCATATTTGGTGTTTTCAACTCATTTTTTGCAAAGCAGTTTCATAATATCATAAGCAAACTCCCCATGGAGTCCAGAGTAATTTAAGAGAGATTTCTCTCAAAATCAGGGATCAGGCTTGATGGAAGGGTCTCCTGGAGGTGGTGAACTGTTCAGGACAAATATCACGCCTTTTTGTTTAATGTTTATATCTTTGTGTATGATTTCAGATCTTTGTCGAGATGGAAAACTATGACATCACCGAGGATATATCAGCGGAGACAACGTGGTGGGGGGGAGCTTTCCGGCGGCGTAAACGGTCAACGATGTGGATGCGCTCCAGGGATGCTAACTTTGCATTCAGGGTAAATTTTGGCAATATTATGAAAAAAGAGTAAAATTAACATGATGTTGTTTTTCTGTTATTGCAATTAAGGATCATCATGAAGGAAGAGGTGGAAAAGGTGGGATATTATTTTGAAGGAAATAATAATTACCAGTGTTTGCTTCTTAAAGTTACACCTTAAGTTACACCCAACAGGATCAGATCTCAGCACTATTAGGCGTCTGTTCCTGTTTTTGTACTTTGCTTCGGAAATGGATGATATAGAACTTGACCTCTTGACCATGCAAGGGAATAAAGGCCAAATGATGTGTGTTGAATGAGTTACAAACTGTGAAAGATTATCAGAATTACCAAACATATGTTAAACTGGTTACTTTATCCATCTCAAATTCAAGGAAATTTCCATTCCTCGAATCCCATTGCAGCTAGACAGACATTTCAAAGAATGATGCCTGTTCTGAACAATTCCCTTTGCCCCCCCCAAAAAAAATTAAGTACCGCAAAACACATCTGTCGAAAACATTTAGACAAGGAAAGCAGATGGTGGAAAAGTTTTTTTTCTTCAGCAGACCCTCAAACTACACAATGTAAAAAGAAAAAAGATGTTTAATAAACAGCAATCTGGGTATAAACTTGATGGAGCTTTTCAAATTGCTAGGCCTTTAACTGTTTTCTCAGGAAATTGCGACATAAACCTTAATCGAGATTGGCAGTGTTTTTCTGGCCAGCCATGGCAGTTGAGCCTCTAATTCCCTGGAAATCCGGGTGGTTCCCCACAGCCTGTCATATCTAATTACCAGTTTCTGTTAACTGCACAAGTTTTTTATTCTTTCCACAGGAGGCTGGGTTGAAAGTGATGACCGACAAAATTCACCTCAACTTTCATAACAGTGACTCGACAGTTTCGGGTAAGAAATAAAGATCTCTCCATTTCTCAAGGTAGAACAGAAAAAGGAAATTGTTTAAATGTCCAGATCAGTCCTTCCATTGTCCAAACAAAACTTAAATGGAAAAGATCTTGGTAGTTGTGATGGAAAATATAAACATGATCATCTTTGTTGAAAATTATTGAATTTACTGATATTGAAGCAAAATTTCTCAGAATCCCCAAATTAACCATAATAGCTCTTTATCCACATGACACGAGAATGCATTTTGTAACGTAAAAAAAATCAATTTGGAAAAAATGTGTTCCCTGTTGTCGGGTGTTTCCCTGAAGAAGCTTGCCTCATCCTGTTTGCCCACCCCACAAGGATATTGGCAGTGCTAGAGGGTGGCAGGTCCCATCTGGGTCAGAATGATAGGTGGCGCGAGGATACAGGAAACAGCCGATTAAACAGTTGTCATCTGCCGAGGAATCCTTCCCGTCAGCTGTTTTTGTCAAGAGCAGGGATGTTTCTTGTTTTTGTTTTTTAGTGGTGTTGAAAAGCTATGCAGTTGGTTGTGTTGAACAGAATTCTTGCATCAAAGGTGCTACAACTTTCATTTGTTTTGTGTTTCATTCTCTGTTTTGCATTTGTTTTCATAATGCATAAAACTAGTGCGAAGCTCTTTTCTGTCTTCATTGCTTGATTAATGTTTTGCTGTGGAATGAAAGAGTACAGTGGGGTAATTATGAAATATTTTTCGAAAAGGAACAGAAGTTTTTCCTTTCCTGTGGTCATAAAAGCAGATTGTACATATTTCCATATTGAGTCTCAGAGTCTGAGAGTGTGACATCAGGATGTAAATTTAAGACTGCATGAAACGAACTTTAATACCAACTTGATCCCTGATTGCAGATGACGACTGGGTGGTAGTGAGTGCCCAGGACCAGGTATCGAGCCTTGAGCGGAACACTAGACGCAAGCGTGCTTTCTTCCCAGAGACCTGGATGTGGCAGTGCTTCAATTTGAGGTACAGGTCAAAGGTCAAAGGCCACCATAGATATCGCCAACAGCTGAAGCTTATTACTTATGTTCACTATTACCCTTTAAATGCTTTTTAATGTTGATGCAGAAGATCTCATTATTCAAGCCTAGTTCCACTGTCAGCGGAAGCGTGGGGGGTCCAAGGGACTAATAGCCCTCTACTTTTTGGGGGGGTGTAAATTATTGAACTATTGATGTGTGATGCATGATGGTCTACTGGCCCCTAACCTGCAAAATTGTTCTACTGCCATTCCTTAGTTCATTATTTCTTCTGGATACTTTAACGTTTGCTCTGTGTGACACAGTTCCTCTAGTTCTGAGGAACACATCCAAATGCGTGTGCCAGACACCATCACCACCTGGATGACCGACGTGATTGCGATGTCGCCAACCCATGGTCTCGGTGTAGCCGAGACCGTCCAGCTGACCACCTTCAAGAACTTCTTTGTAGAGTTCACGCTGCCGTACTCGGTGATTAGAGGAGAACAGCTCAGGCTACCGGTCACCGTCTACAACTACTTCGACCGTTGTGTCCAGGTACTGAAGAGCGTCCATCTCAAAGTGTCACTGAAGAGCATTTGCTCAAGCCATTCGTGACGTTTTTTTAAAATTCTGTCATGCATATTCAGCCACCACTGTAAATTCAGTATGCAACACACTTTGGCATGTGAACAAAACAATTTCTTGTCCCAGAAATCAGTATGTTTCAATTTTTAATTCACAAAATATGGAGGGCCTGATGCTTCAATCTACGCAGAATTTTTGTCAAAGGCAAAATGACAAGTAGACAGGACAAACAAACGCGAAAAATCAACCAAGCATGGACGAATGCAAGAGGACAAAAGGAGATTTTGAATTCAGATGAATTTTCATAAGTGGCTTAAGCTGTGCTCAGGGACAGATCAAGCAAGTGCATCAAGCTTTATAAAGATATCCTTCAAGTTTGATTGCGATTTTCCTCATATATCTGAACCTTGTGTCATGTACAACCCTTTTATGAACTCTTAAAATACAAGAGTCATGATGACATCAGTCACTTAACACACAATCTTTACATGGTTATTCATTTGCTTGGTTTTTTTATTTGTTTTGCAAATGACCCAGGTTGATCTGATTGTTCACGTCCAAGATGGGGTAAGATTCATGCTGCACTCTGAGCGTCATCAGGCACACAAGCTATGCCTACAGGCTCAAGATACAGAAACGACCTACGTGACACTCATCTTCAGTGAACTCGGAAGAAAGAAGATCCACGGTAAGGAATAAAATGCATTTTTTAGTTTATTTGATTAAAAAAAATGAAACCCTTACCCCTTTCCATATTTTTGAATTTCGTTTTTTTCTTGTCATATTTTAACAAACTAAATCATTATTAGTTGGTCTTGGTGGTTTAATGGAGAGGAGAGCCATCTGACTGAGTTAAGTTTTAAACCTTATTCTGACTGTGCCAACAATTGTTATGGTCTTTAAGAAGCCTCTTTCTGTGCTGGAAGACAGTCAATCTTTGCTTGTTTTCATTTAAGACAGATTATTTGTATTAATGAATGCTGTATTTTCTCGTGTATAAAAGTTGATCTGTGGGTGAACAGTGTCCTTTGTCTTTGCAGCCAGTGCTGAGGCCATGGTATCCCCAGATTGCTGTGTTGGGCCAGTCGCCAACGAAGGCATTGCTGGCTCAGATAAGATCACAAAGAACCTGCTGGTTGAGGTGAGGGCTGCCCTGATACATCCTTCAACTTGAAATCCCTGAGCAGGGATGGCAGGCAGATTCTCATCCAGAGCCTGAAATGAAGGCCAGAGTAGCCTAAACATACCTT